ATTTCTCTTCGTCACTCCTTTACCTCCTACCTTCACCGTCTCCCCAACCCTCTGCCCCCAACGCTATGTCGTCGCCTCTGTTCTCTCTAGTCGAGTCCTCTGCTCACAAGCGTCCTACCAGCAGGCACTCTGCCTGCAACGACATAGGCAACAAACATCACTGTACTTGTCTCTCCAATCTGCCACTGCGATGCCCGTGCTGAGCCTCAGATCTCGCAATGACACGACCCAGCTGACAACACTGTCCTTCAGCGTAAAGCGTAAGCAGCCAGCCCACTTCATAATAGCCTGCACAATAGTTGCTCATCCCTCTCCTCCCAACTTTTTGCCTCCCTTCCATCCCTCCCACTCCTCGCTCCGCCATTTGCGTTGCCTCTCCTTTGCTGTCCTCACTTTTTTACGTTCACCTTCCTTTTTGCATTTGCGCGTGCATCCGCATTGTTGACCAATGCCAAACGACTTCTTCAATAATTCCATGCATTCGCGTACTTCTTCCCGCTCTGCAGCGCAGACGACAACGATGAGCACACGCTTGCGACAATGTCCCTGTACAGCTACTCCCGTCGTGCCACTCTCTCTCACCCGGTACGCACTCTCCTTTTCCACACGTTCAGTGCTTGAAACTACTCTAGATATGCCCACACCGCGTGCATTTGCATTCCTCTGTGCCAGGCATGGAATTGCATTAAACGGAAGCATTGACCCACCACTCACGCCGCCCGCACCGAGTCTGTCCGCAACTTCCACATTACCTTCTCTCTTCATGTCAGGACGTCCCAGAGATACACCCTCGCGATCAATGACTCAGCACACTGTACCTTCCATTGCTTGCTGTAGCAAGAGCATGCAGCACGCATGCACAGATACAGATTCGCCTGTAGCTCAAATCAGCTCGCTCGACGCTCCGGATCTCAACCCAGTACACTACCTACCCTTCCTACACGTTGTCATGGTGTGTCCCTCTCCTTGCTTCAATTACCTGCACTTGCTAACAATTCTGTCCCTTAGGTGAAGACTGGTCTAATATATTCAAAGTATGATTCTCCACAACTGGACGCTCCTTTCCTTTCTTTCTCTCTTTTCGTGTCTGCATGATCGTTTCACAAGTACAATATTATTAGAATGAAATGTAGTAGAAATAAATCAATGCAAGCATATTAAAATGTAAATACTTAATTATAAGAGGAAACAGAGAGAAATAAATGAATACCTGGATTGTAAAATATTATAACTATTTGGAAGCCTTGTAAAGCTCTTATAAAGTATAATAATATCTAACAATATACAAAGTACTTTTAAAGCTTTACATTGGATTGTATACATTATAAAACTATATTACTCTTGTTAAAATACAAAGTTCTTTTAATATCTTTTCATTTTAGGAGGTTGGATATAAGTTCATTTACATACTGTCAACACTTATAAACCTTATTCATATTGACAATATGTACATACCTTTTTGTATCTTATATAGCTTTTTATAATTTTCTCATTTTGAGAGGTTGGATATATAGTCTTTTATATTTTTTAAATAATTTAAATAATTTAAATGTTTATAAGCTAATATAAGCCTTAAGACTTTTTCCTGATGCACTTACCATCTGATTTCGAGCCAGACATAGAAGTGTGTATGTATTTGGATTCCCCTACGACCCGTGCTCTGGACTATTCATGAAACTGAGGTTTTAGACAATGAACGGGTGCCAGAATCAGAACATATAACTGTGACAATTTACAGGCCCGATGGTGATCTGTCTGGATTTAAAGAGTTGCTTCGTTATCAAAAACTCGTCGCTATTAGTGAGTCTTACTAAGTTGCCGACATTCATTCTCAATATGTGTAACAACTAACACTAACTGAGGACATCTACTGATACACGTTGTCCTAGTTCATAAAATATCGGTACCGGACCCGCGATGTGGTAGATATCTGGGAGACGACTTTCTGAAGACAGATAATAAAGACCTGCATGAATTCAGACTGACGATTACAAATAGAATTTGGGAAAAGATAAAAGCTCTGCCTACGCAGAGCGACAATACTGAGAGCTGAGAGAACCTGCGAATATAAGAACGTCAATTGTATATGATCTCTATAATTAATTCGGATACAAAAGGCGGCATCCATCTCTGTGTACACACTCATTCTAGATAGTAATGAAAACGCCGGAGGGGGGAGGGGCTGCATGTATCGTTAACTAGCATGGATTCGCTGCTGCAAAGTGGTGGCGTTATAGCAGATTTGATTAATAATGACTTAATGACTTATCTATACCTGTAATGCATATGACTTCTGCATCTTGATAATGTTGCAAATGCACTCATCAGAGAGTGATGGTACTACTGCTGTCATAACTCATCAGATGGAGTTATCATAATGATGTGATATACATCATATCTGTTCCATATGCCTATAAACATAATTAAATTCCTTTTTGATTCGCAGGTGGAGATGCATATCATAAGGAAATACACACATACCAAAGCATAGGTAAACTGTACTGTGAGATAGTTGTACATAGACCGCAGCAAGCTTGCAACATTCGATACCGAGCCTTTGTCCCACGCGTTGTATCCTTGACTACAGTACGACGGTGGAATTCGTGGCGTATAAGCATTGAAGCATTTAAGTAGACTATATTTGTGAGAGAGAATGCTGCGTGAATTACTGTGACTGAAAGTTGGATATGGGAGAGTTTGAATAGAGTTTGTTTACATACCTTGGCCGTGGAGATGGATCGTTTCCTCAGCTGGTATTATTTCTCGTGCAAGCGATGGGCTTTGGTCCAATTAAAAGTGAGAGATACTTAATGCATCGCTTCCAAATGAGACAAGGTATCCAGAATTAGGTACTTTATAGTCGTTCTTCCCCTTTCAGATAGAGAAAGTGATGTAAGGAGAACGAACTCGTAATGACGAGGTGACTTCGGTCATAATTAGATGTTCGTTAAAAATAACTGTTAATCATACCGCAATACTTTACTAAAGCAGACAACGGGGTGCGGCGACACCTAATCCTGAGAGCAACGGAATCAGTTGCACCAATGATACATGAAGATGCAGTGGCGGAAGTGAGTATACTGAGCAAAGCGCGGGAGGAGCATCGTGATAGAACGGCACAGAATCAATTCGAAGAATCATATAGTGCCACTGGTAACGGGCCTGCCGTACCGCGTCGGACCAGCTAACGTGATAGTCGAAGCTGTTTCCCCGGTTCTCAACATTTCGCATCAGGAAATGTCAAGATGCGTATGTCGGGGATGGTAACGTGAATAAAGTTGCCGCGAACACAGCCCTGCGCAAGCACTAGTAGTAAGCCAGGCTGAGACTAAGGGAAAGGGTCGTGACCATTTCAGAGCAACCCTCAAACACGGATTCACTTTGGTATGCATTTGCATGTGCGAATGAGAGATTCCATTTCGTTTTCAGACATGGACGGAGCGGAGGGAATCACCACGCGCACACACGCATTTTAGGAAGACTTGTGTACCAAAGAGGGGGCATTTTCCACAGAGGGATGAAGCAACGTGTGCGAGGGAGGAAATAGAAAGAACAAGAAAGCGGCGAATGCCATGGCGGCCGGAAGGGCTCGCGTGGTCCTGGGCCCTGGGACAGATTCCATCCCATCCCATCGGGCGCTGTGCATGTGCCAACACGGCAACCGGCAACAACGGTGCGCTACAACCTCACCCGCTCCCTCAGTGCTTCCCCTCCCTACGTCCACTTGTCGTCTATCCAATCCACCATGTTGCTCTGGCTGGCCTGATCCTCGTCTTTTTGTCTGTCTTTTCCTCTTGGACGACAGAGTAAGATACGGTGCGCGTCCAGGAGACTCGTCCGCATCAGCGAAATTTCCACCCCTTTCACGACATGTACGTCCCCGTCGCCAACCCGCGAAAGCATTCTTTAGCTTCTATCGGTAAGTCCACCTGTCATTTCTAAATTTCTAAATGAATTCTCCGCTGTGTCTATCCATACGACACGACAAATGCATGCATTTGGAGTGCTTCGTTTGACAGCGAAAGCCGATCCAAAGTTATTTTGTGAAACAGTGGGAGATTTGACGTGGAATTAGAGTAAACTGACATGATCTTCACTTTTTGACTTTTTGACAGCGCGGCGTGCGGACGACTCGCAGGCGACTCCTGGCGGGTCTGCTGCGTCATCTTCATCTTCTACTTCGATTATTTCTACTTCTATTTCGACGAACGGTAATGAAAATGATGGCGGTGCTTCGGCGACGAGTACCACTTCGAGCGTGGTAACGTCCCAATCAACGAGCACTACTGATAATGCGAACGAGACTAGCGCTTCGAGCTCGGTGACGTCCGATGTTGCTAGTTCATCGGCTGGTGAGCGAACTGTCTGTTCAAGAATTATCGGACTGGTTTATTAATCGTATCTTTTCAAGCATCATCTACATTGGCGACTTCTTCGAGTTCGAGCTCAAGCGCGATTTCAAGTGCGATACCCACATCTTCCTCTGTATCTTCTACAGCGACTTTGGCCAGTTCCTCTTCTGTATCGAGCTCGACCGCGGCGGCTGCTTCTGGGAATACTTCCGCGCTTAGCAACGGCGGTGCATCCGAATCGACATCAGTATCAGTAGCGAACACGAGCATTCTAGCGACTAGCACTGCTGCTGATGCAGATAGTTCGAAAACCTCAAGTACTGATTCAAGTTCAGTGACTGCTGCCTCCAGTTCAGCGTCTGTTTTGGCGTCTTCAACTGGTGAGATTAAATTATTTGTCCCGTTATCCTGGTACTAATCGATTGATTTGATTTTGTAGTATCATCAGCTGCACTGGCCTCATCAGAGAACCCGGTCTCAAGCTCATCACTCGCGTCATCGAACTCGGCTGCCGTACCAGCACCTACCGGTAAGATCGTTGTCAAGCTTGGCAAGGAACCTTAATTAACTAATCCTCCGACGTTAATTTTTATCGTATCTCATAGTATCTTCGTCATCTGTGCCTACTCCCCGAGACGGCTCATCCGCAAGCGCAGTTCCGAGTCCTTCGCCTTTGCCTTCATCTTCGTCTCTATCGGATGTTTCCAACGTAGCGAGTTCGTCAGATTCAAGCCCGAGCTCCACCCTGACGGCCCTCGCTCCCGCCTCCTCAACTTCTCCCTCTGCTTCTTCCGGCGACCCTTTATCAAACTCGCTTGATCCAGTCGGAGGTGTAGGTTCTGTTCTCGGTGGTGTGAATTCTGTTCTGGGAGGTGTTCTTGGTTCGGGGAATAGTGATGCAAGCTCTACGGTCGACTCTGCCGATGTGAGCAGTGCAAGTCAAGCAACTGGTACTGCTGTGTCGGGTTCGGCTGATGCGACTACGAGCTCTGATGTTGTCAGCGCAACGTCTGGGGTTTCAGCATCAGATACTTCGACAGCGACGGATTCTGCTGACCCCTCATCGGCTACTGATATCTCTGGTACCACTGACATTGGGCTGAATGCTACGGCTACTGACTCATCCTCGTCGACACTCGACTCCGCATCAGATTTTTCGGTGACAGCCACAGGCTCTATAACGCAAACGATCTTTTTCAGCTCCACAACCGACAATGCAATACCAACTACAACTGATACTGCTAGCGATACTACTACTTTTACACCACAGGGCAATGGCAATAAGGGCGTCTCCTCTATTTCGAATCCATCGCCCGCGGCTCCGGATCCGCAGCAGAGAATTGCGACGACGTCTGTGAGTTCTTCGTCAACGGCGGTGCAAGGGAATGGTGATGCAGTAGCGCCGACTTCAACTGCACCTGCACCTGCAACTGCCTTATCCGGCAACTCAAATGCTGGAAGTGGTTCGTCGAATGGCAATGGTAATGTTCCTCAGGCTGATCAAAGTACTGAGACTACCATCGAGCCTCCAAGCGTGGCAACGACAATTGCTGTTGGCAGCTCTTCTGTGACATTGACCACCCATGCCTCTCTTCCGACTGGTACCGGTAGTGGAACGAATAATACTGGTCAGCCTGGTGGTACCGCAAGTGCCGGGAATGCGCCGTAAGTCACCTCCAATGCCTATTATCCCATGTGTACTGTGCTGACAGACTCTTCTCTGTAGTGCGTCGGCGCTCTCTGGTGGGGCTATCGCTGGAATTATAATATCCATTGCGGGCAGCGCCGCCCTTGTCCTACTCATCATTTTCATCCTTCTGCGTCGTCGTCGGGAACGTGCGCGTGCTCGACTCGCCCATGAGAGCTTCGGGCCTGGTGTCCGGAGCGCAAGCTCGCAAAGTAGGCATGCGCCGAGTCCGTCGGGCGTTGCTTTCCTCCCTGGGTTCCTGCACGGTTCCAACAGGAGTGCGAGATCTAGTAATGATAGTGTTAGGGATGGTCCTGGATTCTTCACTCGTGCACGCACTCTCTTTACACCTCGCAGGTTTGGAATGGGAGAAAAAGGAATTGGGATGGACCAGCAATGGGAGATAATGAATGAAAAGCCTACCGATGTCTACGAGCGTGGCCTTGGTGATGGAGAGGGATCGTTCCTCCCTCCACCGGGTCGCGCAGTCTCACCCATTGCGCCATTCCCGTTTATGTCTTCGGCTACAAGTACACATTCGCCTTCGAACAGTGGTGGAAATGTCAGTATGAATCCTTTCTCGGATCCTTCGTCAGAGCGCGCTGTGACGCCTGTTGAGCGTGCAAAAGCCGGAACGCCTGTTCCTGGATCTACACCGGTTCCACGTGCGGACGACCCGTTCTGGGATCCCGAGGATTTGCTTCCGCCTGCATTGAGGTTGAGCGCGCTGCAGAAGGAGACGGCTGCAAAGAAGGCTGCTGCTGCTGCAAGTTCAAGCGCCGTTCCTGCTTCAGGAAGTGATGGTGTTGCGCCCGCATTTGGCTTTGCTGGTGTTGGTGCCTACAGTGCTTCATCCTCCGATGCGAAAAGAAACATAACGAGCCCTAGTGACTTGATGGGCCCTCTTCCTTCTGACCCGTTTGCTGATCCGGGGATTGTTGCCAGTGCTAGTGGTCCTCCTAGCAATGCGAGTCAAGGATCTAAGGATAAGCAACCGATGAAGATGCCTGACATATTCGACTTCCGTGCCAGTGGGGTGTCGGATTCTGGTGCTGACGCTGAGGCCGCACGAGAAGGGTATACGTCGTGGGTCTCCCAACCAGGATGGGCTTCTCGCTCCTCAACGCGTTCTTCCGGAGTTTCCAATAACAACTCTAATGGCATAAGTCAACAACAGCCGCCGTTTGCTTCATCAACACCGAGCCTGCACACTAACTTACTGGGATCGGGGGGTGATGACAGGTCCGTACTTGCATCGAGCTACGGATCAGGCGTCGGTCCGGATAGTGAGTCCAGTTTGCATACCATTGCCGCTGCTGGAGACTCTGGTGTTTCGTTGGGTATGTTGAGGTCGGAAAGCCCTCGGACTTTTGGATCTGTCTCTGGTGAGACGAGTTCGAGGGTGAGCTACGTGTCTGCGGAAAGTCATGGGAGCAGTCACTATCAGGTGTGTATTTTTTTTCTTTTTTTCTATGAAGATTGACTGGGTGTTCAACGCTAATGCCTGGCGTGTTCTTGATTTGTAGGAGTTCGGCAATGCCCTCTAGATGAGACTCCTTCGGTTGAGTTGACACAGGTCGAGTTGTAGAGTGCATTCGCCTTATACTTTCTTCTCTTCGTCTTTCTATTACCTAATATTTGCACTTTACTTATGTTTCTTCGTTTTCTTGCTATTCTGATATCTCTTCGGAACTTCTTACTTGCGCTCTACTTACGTCACTCTCATCCACCCCTCTGCCTCTTTCTTTTCTTTCTTTGTGTCCGCCTATGCATGGACTCCGGAAATCACTCATTCGTTAGTTTGTTAGTTGTGCAGTGTAATTTGCTGTACTCCTTTGTACCTCCAGGCTTCTGTACCAGACTAAAAACCCAAAGCATCATTGGAATATATGTTTTCTTACATTGTAAATAAATGAGTTGGATGCTTAATCGGAGCATCAATGTTAGCCACAACGAGAACAGCGGACTGTTAAGGATCGATCATCTGGTTCGGTCTTTAGAGGGTCGAGGAAAAGGTTTCTGCTGCACAAGACGCACAAACTCTCAGCAAAGACAGTGTTCTACTTTGCTTTCAATCCTTAAACTCTCAATCTATTCTAAATTCAAGTTCAAGTTAGTAGTTACTTATACATTAAGTTCCTTTACTAGTGCAACCACCATTCTCCCCTCTGCTTCGCTTTGCTTATCACCTGCCGTGATCCTCATATTAGACACATATAAGTATAGTAGATAACACTAACGAACAGCAATATATTTAACACTGAATACTTCAGGAGAAGCTTCAAAAACGGTCACCGTAGTCGCTCCTTCAGTATTAAAAGAATTATCTGAGATAATTAGTTAGCTCCACATTTTCCTAAGAAAAAAACACATATATACAATTATTTATTGCTGATTGTAATCTTGGGTTTGTGTAGGTATCTATTTGTGATAATGAATCCCTATGAACAACTTAACGAAAGACAACATGAGTCAGTGCAGAAAGTGTTCAATATGGATAGAGATGTACCTAATTCTTCCTTTTTCAACATGCTCTCAGAATTTCAGTGTACGTTCAGGACTATGTCAGTAGACTCAGGGATAAAGGCTAGCAAATATTAGTCTGGAATATAGCAAGGTGCATATTGCAGACTGTGGCTGCTGACTTTATAGCTTCAATCATCCTTACTTTGTGCATAATAAGGAATACTGTTGGTTTATAGACAGTACCATTCCCTAATAAAATTACTTTGTAACCTTAGTTAAACAATACACTATTGGCCTCAACTATCTTTCCCGGTTTTAATGTAACAGCCACTAATACACCCATAGCTTCAAGTTTGTAAGCTGCCAAGCTTTGAGACAAAATTCTGTAAAAAAACATCTTACAGTCTTAATCTTCCCAATGTTGGCATATCATAAGTTTGCATACCAACAGTTATTAGTATCTTAGTAAGAATAGAGTTATCCACAATATCTACATCTAGAAAGTTGCAAAATCGGCAGTATCCATACATTCTCGGTGCTGTTAAGATACAAGCTATAGCATATGAATCACACATTATGCAAAGTGTGTATTGTACATGTGTCGTATCAACAGTCCATCTGATGAGTTACAAATATAGGAAGGCTACAATTTTGAATATCAAATCGCAAAGTGTTGGACCAGCCTTATCTTTATGAGAAAGGTTAAGGCAGAGAATATTTTTATGATGCCATCTGCTTGGAGGAATGTTATCGAAGGACGAATGGCAAAGTGGCATACTGCTCCTAATCGCTGCCCTCAGGTTGTTTGATCACTCTAAGCGAACGGCGTAGGTGAACCGGTCTCCGTCGTAATCAGACTCTGAATGAATCTGCATTGATTGCAGTCCAAACGAGCAGTTGGCACCTTCTCATTCTAACCACTCGGCTGTCACCATGTTAGAACCTCCGATCAATGGAGTATGTTGCAAGACATAATGAGTGCGTAGCATTATATACCTCATGAAAAGAGGCTAGTTATCGATATTATTATGGAGAAGACGTTACTTGAGACAATTTGTAATGAATGTGCCTCTCGATCTCATATAGATCCTTGAGGTAGATTATATAGAAGGAGGACTCATGTAAGCAAATTGTCTCTACAGCAGCACAGCTTCATCATCTTTCATATTTACTCTTATCACTACTTGCCAGTCTCACAAGACCAGTCCTCTTATCACTGAGTCTGTACACAATTGTCATCTCGAATCTCTTCAAGTCGTCGTCTTCGTGCTTCAAAAAGTCGCCTCTTTCATATCCTCCACTTCGTGGATCTTCCACAGACGTTTTATGGACTATTAGAACATACATGAGCAGAACTTTTCAGTAACATTCTTCGTATTGACAACTAATGTCAGTAGATTTTCAGGACTCACTGAAAGCAAAGAGTTTGTGGTCACGAAGTCCAGGTTTACACCCAGACATATTGCCATCAGTTCTGTAAATTGTTACTGTCAGCTGTTCTGAGTCTGGGACCTGCTTGTTGTCTCATTGGGTTTTATAAGTGAGTCGAAAGAAAGCCATGAGCTGGGTCTGAACAACATACACTTATCTAACGCTTTAATAATTGTCTCAGATAGTTCATCATCTATTGGTACAAGGTGTTCCATAAAGTGTGTAGGATTCCTGTTCTTAACTGACATTATTAAGTGTACAAGGTACAGTACTTTCTGTTCTAAATAAATTTAGACGAATCTGGATCATATTATAATCATATTCTTTAGCCTCATGACAAAATGAAAGAATACCTTCGGCTTTTGTGGCAAAAAGTAATAATCTGGATACACTATTGCAATTATATTGTCATACAGAGCTGCTGGCTTTAATAATAAATCCATCATTTTCTCTCCTTATATAATACAGTATTGCTTCAAACCAGGTACACCTGTTTGAATTTCCGCCCAATTCTTATGTGGAATGTATTGTTTTCCTATAGCCATTATGAGTATTCCTTTCATACACATTCAGATCTAATATAGTAAGAAACAAGCTGATGTGTAATGGAAACCATTTTTGGCTTAATATAAGTGATAGAAAACAAGATTTTGTTTGATAGCTTACCTTTTAGATAGTAAATCAATCACAAGCAAATGTTGGCTAGCTACTTTGGTTTCTACCCATCAGATTCATCATTACTATGTTTGATTTATCCAAAAAAAGTAGTGGCTAGAAATAGTATTATTATTTTATTACAGCAGGCAAGTTATTATAAGTACAATAAATATATTGCAAAGTATTTTAAGCATATATTTATTGTACAATCAGAGACTCATTTCAGAATATTTTTCAGTATATAGCACAACTCTTATTCACTATTTTGTAGTGGTATTACAGAACAGATATAGTATAATCAAACACAGAATTGAATGTGTATAATTGGGCCAACATAGCTTATGTGCATACACAGGAGGCAGAAACCTATTCTGAAACCTAGAGAATTTATTTTAGAATGTATTTCCAGCCAATCAGATAGTAGCTTTCAAATTTTGTAATAAATTCCTAGGATTGCAAAATGGGATTCTGCCTCCTGTAATATATATAATACAATCTGTCTCTTAAGATGATTAAATAACTATATGTCTTGAAATTTATTTAAGAAACAATATCATTATAATTAAAGACTCTGCTGCTACTAACTATCTAATTTTAATAATCAGATGCCTCAAACAGTAGTACCCTCAGCCTCCTTGCCAGCTTTTATAGCATCTATCTTTACCTGAATCCTGTTTGTAATTTGCTCCTCAAATTTATCTACTTCTTCCTCTGTCTTTAAAAAGTCGGCATATGCAACTTCACCACTTAGTGGATCAACAGATCTTTTATGAACTAGAATAACATATATGAGCAATTGATGTAACAGGCATTGTATACAAAAAATATCTGTAGCAAAAGGTTTGAAAGACTCACTGAAAGCAAAAAGTTTCTTGTCACAAAGGCTGGCTTTGCAATTGGACATATTACTGTCAGTTTTGTAAATTGTTACACTTATCTGTTCTGTTTCTGTAACCATCTGATTGTCTAAGAATAAGTCTAAGAATGGCTCGGGACAAGGTTATAGCGAAATCCGGATACAAACACTCTCTTAGTACTAGGAATCAATCTGTAAGTAACCCAGAACAAAATCTATATCTTAATAATTACAGATACATACACAGCCTTATAGCCCTTTTCATGGCCTTTGGTATCTCAGCGCTTGGATCCATTGGTATTAGGTGGTCCATAAAGAATGTGGGGTTTTTGTCATGTTTGCGCGTCATATCAAATGCTCACAAATTTCTGTTTCTACGAGACTAGTTTCGCGAGTTTATATAGCAAATTTCCTTATTGATTGCACTACAGAATAATGTGGTAATTGTCGAAGCAGGTGTACTTATTTGGCAATGCACCAGTTATTTACTCTATGATACCGTTTCACATTTCTAGGTATTTATGTACTTGCATAGATAATTACATCAGCTGTGCCTAAGCGAAACCTTTTGTGACTGACTATGTGCACTGTGAATGAGCTCCCATCCGACAGCTGAATTTTATGCAGTAAATCAATGATGAACAAACATCAGCCTACTCTTTTTTGGAATCATTCATCATTTACTAGAGTCAAATCATATCATATGACATGCAAACATAGCTACGCCACACAGTGAACCCATCTTGGAGTAAGATTCTGATCAAACAACAAAGTTGTATTCTGCAATGTTTTTGCTGTGCCTACGACAAATCGACTGTCGTGGTTGATCCTATTTTTCGTTCACTGCCGATTGGATACTGTGGCGCAACTTACATATTCTTCCATACATTATGAATTCATGTTAGTTGGGCATTATTTATTAATAGAATTGGACATGTGTAATTTGATATGTTAACATAATCTATTTGCACACATATGATATGTTTTTGTTGGTGAAGATAATTACAATAACTTTATGTCTTAAAATTCCAAGACAATATATTTAGGATTAAAGACTCTGTTGTTCGCTATCTGACTTACATACAATCAGTAATCTTAGACAGTCGTGTCCTCAGTCCCCTCACTATCCTCTAGGGCAGCTATCTTTGCCTTGATTCTATCTGTGATTTGTTTCTCAAAATTTTCTATCTCTTCATCCTCAGTCTTTAAAAAGTCAGCGTATTGGAATTCACCACCCCGTGGATCTCCAGCAGATTCTTTATGAACTAGAACGGTACACGTGAGCAAGGTTTTATAATTTTTTTGCGTGTATATAACAATGTGTAGTGATAGTCTTGTAGGACTCACTGAAAGCAAAGAGTTTTTTGTCACGAAGGCTAGGCTTACACCCGGACATATCACCATCAGCCTTGAACATTGTAATAGTTATACGCTCTGGCTTTGGGACATGCTTGTTATCTGAGAATTAGTCTGTAAGTGGCTTGGGAGAAGGTTATAGTCAAATTCGGATACACACACTCCCTCAAGACTAGAAATCGATTTATAAGCAAACAAGAACTAAATCTATAGACTACTAGTACCGAAAACGTACGACGCACTATAGCTTTTCTCATTGTCTCTGGTACCTCAACCTCTGGATTCAATGGTACTAGGTGGTCCATAAAGTTTTTCGGGTTCTTGTCATGTTTGCGGGTCATATCAAATTCTCACTAATTACTCCAGGTATCGAACGGACGAGTTAAATACTTTTGCTCCTCAAAGAGTGAGAATATTATGTTGATGGGTGATAGCAAGAGTATTCATATTCAGCGTCCCACCAATTTATACAGCAACTTTCCTTGCCAATTACACTATCTTAGATTGTACAGGGGCTTTGAGCAATACGTTTGTCCAGCAATGCATTCAATACTCACATATCATGCTACCATCTCCCATCACTGGTTGGTCTTATTTTGCATAGTTCATTACATTGGCAGGTCTAACCAATACTGTCTGTGGCTTACTATATGCAATGTTAATGAGCTCCCATCTGATAGTTTACCTTTTTCTAGTAAGTCAAGGATGAACGGTCATTGACTCACATCATTGGTTTCATTTATCATTCACCGCCGACGCCTCAGAGCGTGATATGCAATCATATTGGTCTGCATACCAAAACCCGTTCGAAAGCAAGTTTCTGATTAGGAATAAAACGTATCCCGCAATGTTTTCGCCGTACCTGTGACCAATTGTCTGTCGTGATTGATACTACATTCAGTTCTCTGCAAAGGAAGACATCGAGGATTCATGTACAACTGGATATAACACTGAAGAACGTATGCCCTCATTACTTCCCTATGAACACAACTCTCGAAATATTTCAGCGGTTTAGCTTGTGCTGATAGATACTTGAATAAGAGGCTGTTCACTTCCTGTCGTTGATCTCATGAGTTTCGCTATATCACAGTGGATATGCCACGTTTGAGAAACCTAAGCTTTTCGGATGAACTCACTTTATAGGCTCCGGGAAGAGACACTGTAAATGCGGGATGACTCGAGATATGGGTAAGTCAGTTATGAGTCTCGCGATTCAGAACGTGGCATTAATTGATAATAATGAAATCTATGACCGTCCGTTAGAGACAGCACTCGAGTGTCTTTTTGCTGAGAGATCAGATGGCACAGAAACAGTCGTGACTCCTTCAACGGTAATTTGACAAGGTTATGATTGTGGTGCATTATAAACGTGGTAAAGCGGCTCCTCGATACCGTCGTGTGAGGAAAAAGGAACAGCTGGCGAGAACCGAGAAATGACTCGACTGAGCACTGGAATTGGAGTTAAAAGGATGCACGCACGAGTAGCAGGCTATCTGTGCCAAGAAACTCCCCAAACTCTTGAATCTTGCGGTACCCTCCTTGCCCAGGCTCTTCCTATGACACCCTGTTCTACCGCAACGCATATACTCGGGGGTCCGTGAGGACATACGCGAACCACAACATAAACCAAAAAAAACAAAATTTGATAGCTTGTGGAGCGTTCATTTAGTTCCGTACAGTTCAATACCTGCCTTCCCGTACATGAAGTTCATTCTGCATGGCTCAGCTTCCTGATATTACAGCGCGGAGAGTCAGAGACGGGATGATTGCGCATTGAGGTATCTTACACAATGGTACCATTTCGGGACTGCTTAGTAATCAAAGGACACTCACGTGTAGCTGGAATTGATAGCATTTTAATTTCCGCAGGTTTGACCCTCTTTTGTGTGTCCGCTGTCCAGTACATACTGACAGAAGGGACAGAAGATAGAATATGCTTTGTGTTCAAGTGAGTCTCACACTTAAGTTCGTGTTTTATTTTTTTGGGAGGTTGGGAAAGTTTGTGGGAATCTCAGACCCTACAAAGGTAGTTCTTTTTTCACTTGGCACTGTTGGCAGAATTCATGTTGCGGAACAGTACAGCGTGTGAGGGTCTGTTTTTAGACGACAGGGGATGTAGCAACATTCATGGCCTATCACGTTAGTACGATATCGATTTCAATGACGGTACCTGGACATCCGGGAAGCGACGGATTTCCGCAACTATCTGCTTCGTCGGTTGCTTCGGTGAGTGCAGGTACGGTGGTGGCAAACGATAAGAGAAGTCGGACAACCTGGATAGTGTGGAGAAAGCAAACTCGTATGTTTCTCGACGATCTACAGGAGCGAGATGCTTCTATAGCGGCGCCGAAGGCATCTTCAGGGTAATCTGGACAGATTGGAAGTAATACTTTCGACATCACCGCACGGTATCGCTCAATGGTGTCGTGTGCCTCGCTGGCACCACTTCCATTTTACTACCGGAGGCACAACCACGAGACCCCGCCGTAGCTTCGTCCGCGGCCCACCATTTCCTCTCTGTCAGCCTAAGGTCCGCTTCCTAGGGCCATCTTTTATCAACACCACCTCCAAGACCATTATTCAAATACTAAGACAAGATACATGAATATTCAAGTGGGCATAGGATGGATCATTACCTCAACCACATGCATGCGACTCTTGTTAGTCCAAATATGACTCTTAGTACTCAAGGCAGCCAAATTGCGTAAACGATGTGCCGAAAATCATGGATATTGACTTGGAAAATTTGCGAAGCATTCCTCGGGAAAAGTGGATAACGACCTCCGTTCAACGACAACCCTTTCTTTCTTGTCCAAGAGATTGCTCCAGAACCCAGATCATCAGGTCCATGTGCTCGATGCTACGCCGAATCCTTGCATGCATAGTCCACTGGGGGATGCCGAACCCATCCCGCATCTCCCGGGTTCCTCGCTGGTTTTTATTCAGTCGTGACCGCAAAAACGGGCTTATCAAGAAGCGTCATGTGGGAAGGCGTTGTATCTTTGGATGAGCAAATAACGGCTTCGCATACGCTAGACGTGATACGGATTGCGAGCTTGGAGTATAAGACACCAGTGGGGCTGGCTCCTTTTTTTCTTTGAGTCCCCCATCCTGGTCGGCCCTCCTGTGTTCTCTCACTTCGTCTCCTTGGCTAAGATGGCTACACTGGAAGACCTCCCTGTGATTGTCCATGATGCCGAGCAAAAGGACTCGTATGATGAGAAGCTCGCCATAGATAAGGAATCTCTCAGCTCTAGCTCTGGCTCTGCTCCAGGGGATGTTTGGGAGGATACAGCTGAGGGAAAGGAACGTCCTATCGGTTTGTTCTTGTCTCTCTCTTCTTTTTAGTCTTCTGGTTCTGACTCTAGTATGGTTTTTCGCTTGTCACACTTCCAGAAACCGATGTCGATGTCGCCACCCGCTTAATCTCCCTCGAGGACGATCCATCACTACCTGCTATGACATTTAGAACATGGTTCCTTGGTCTCGGCCTTTCATGTTTCGGTGCTGTCCTCGGGCAGATTTTTGTTCGTATTTTCGGATTAATTCCTATAAACAGCAAAACTCAGTTTTGCTAATTCTTTGCTGTAGTACTTCCGTCCCCAGACGATCTCTGTCAGTCAGCTCTTCCTACAAATTATAGGCTATCTCCTGGGAAGAGCCATGGTTGAAGTCGTTCCGGGTCCCGGAAATCCGCACAAACGCCTCCAGATGTCCGATAACTGGTTCTGGCGCTTCATGAACCCTGGACCATTTAGTTCGTAAACATTTTATGGATCATTGGTAAAGAATGTTGCTAACTTCGATTACATTGCGCTTTTCGCTTGCTCAGACATCAAAGAGCACGTAGCAATTACGATCTTCTCGTCGACGGCTGCTGATTCCGCTCTCGCAATCAGTATCTTCGCAGTACGTGTTATCCAAAAGACCTCCTCAAAGGGTAAACACAAACACTATGTACGATACAGGCAGATGAACTGTATTACAAGAGCTCTCCCAACGTAGCTGTCGGGATCTTCACACTGATAGGTTCGCAGCTTATTGGATATGGCTTGGGTGGCTTGATGCGCTCCTTCTTGGTTTATCCGACGTACATGGTGTTCCCGAACTTGTTACCAACTGTCCAGCTCTTTGATGCCCTGCATCGAGGGAAAGGGATCTTTTTGCAGAAGAAACGCGTCAAGTTCTTCTGGATCATCTTCATTTCGATTTTCGTTTGGGAATTTTTCCCGGAGTATATTGCTCCGTGAGTCTCTAATACAGTCATATTGTCCGTCTCTATTCGGAACTTTGAGCTCAACTCAGACTGCAGGACTCTCACCGGGATCAGTGTCTTCTGCCTTGCGAACAGGAATTCTGCATGGTTTACTCGTATATTTGGTGGTGCGGCGGGTAACGAGGGTCTGGGCTTGTTTGCACTGTGCCTCGATTGGAACTACGTCGGGTCAGGAGGCGGCTCCTTGGGAGCTTTGTTCACACCCCTATCAACACAGCTGTCTCTCTATTTTGGAACGATGATATGCATGTCAGTCTTTCGCTTCCAAATCTTGAAGAAAAATAATCACTGACACCTTGACATTCACAGTATTGCTTTCTGTGCTGTATATGCACGCAATGTCTGGCATGGACAGAATTTCCCATGGCTTTCACAACAGTTATACAACTTCAATGGAACAATTTACGATCAACTGGCCATTTTGGACGACAACTTGCTTCTTGACGAGAGCAAACTGGCGGAAGTCGGTCTGCCGTGGTATGCATCGTCCCAAGTGCTAACGAAGATCGGTTCCAACCTAGCAATCGGTGCGACGGTTGTGCATGTTTTCTTGTGGTATGGCCGGGATATTATCGAGATGGTGAAGAAGGAGCGTGCAGGCGAGTCTGTAGATCCACACCGCGCCAAAATGAAGGTTTACAACGAAGTCCCGATGTGGTGGTACGGCGTTATATTCCTTGGCAGCTTCGCCATGGCCATGGCTACGATATACACTGGGCATTCTAACTTACCTTGGTGGGGTCTTATCGTTGGTATCATCATCAGTACCGTTTTCTTGCCATTCGTTACTACAGTGTACGCCATAACAGGCTTCCTACCGGACATTCAGAGTCTCGTGCAGATGATTGGAGGTGCGATGATCCCTGGTAACCCTCAAGCGAACATGTACTTCACGATGTATGGTTCGAACACACTGCAACAAGCTCGTGGACTCATTCGTGACCTCAAAATGGGTCAATACACAAAGCTTCCACCACGCGTGACTTTCCTCGTACAGTCTCTCGGAACGGTGGTCGGCGGGTTGCTGAACTATGTGATCATGAAGGTTATCGTGACCGCACAGCACGATATTCTTCTCGATGTACAGGGTACCAATGTCTGGAGTGGTCAGCAAGTTCAGGTATGAATAGTGTTCGGCGGTTCCGAAGTTGACCATGCAAAACTGATTTGCCGGTAGTCTTTCAACAGTGATGCAATCTCATGGGGTGCACTGGGAAACAAACTCTATACGCCGAATGGACGCTATGGAGTAAGTTTCCTTATCGCTTATCATTGCAAGAAGGTCTCTCATGCTTATACCAACCTCACTTCACGCAGATCGTTCCCCTGTCGATCCTCATCGGTCTAGCAGTACCTGTTCCACTCTGGCTCGTGCACCAAAAGTTCCCGAATCTTGGTGCAAATAGAGTTGTTACGCCCGTCCTCTGCTGGACTCTAGGTTATCTCTCCGTCGGAATAAACACTTCTGTCTTTACTACTTTCCTCCTGGCCCTCTTTTCTCAGTATTACCTACGCAAGTATAGACCAAGGTGGTTCAGGAAGTACAACTTCTTGCTGAGTGCTGCTTTGGATGGTGGAACCCAGGTGATGGTGTTTGTGTACACCTTTGCATTTGGAGGAGGATCTGGAACGGTTAGACTGTTCCCCATCTGGGCGTTGGTGAGTACATCAGATTTGGGTTGAGATAATTTAATTGGATGCGGACTGACTAAGTACCTGCTCAGAACCCGGAAGGAAACCCAGACTATTGTCTCAGGCTTTCGGATTAATTGAACACGAGATGAGATAGTACTGTAATTGTTTGTATTCTTAGGCCTCAGAGAATCCAGGCACTGCGTCCTTTTATGTGCCTTGGTAGTGTAAGCATGAAGCGGTGCGTGATAGCTAGAAGTCGTTTGCTGTAAGAAATTGTACTATTACTTAAGCTTGCAAGAGTTCTGTTGTTAACATAGAGAATGTATGTCAGTGTTCGTTGCGTAGATTACTTTTTAGTCAACTGGTCCGTGCATAGCTTGTGCAACCTTTATAAACTTACCCTTCTAAAAATTGAATCTTCATACTTACCTTGACGGCGCATCCTCCTTCATGTCTTGGGGACGTGGGCCATGGGACTCTTCCATAGCACGGCGACCGTGTCCGCAGAGGAGGCTTGTGGTTTGTATGCATGCACTGTCCCAATATTTTCCTGTCCCATTTTGGCCCTCGGGCTGGGTGGGGGCTTCCTTTTTTTCTTTGGTCTCTTTGAGGTTATAACCCTAACCTTATACAATATATCTATACATTTGGAAGTACTTGAATAAATTGGCGCTTTATCCGGGATCCGACCTTTTGTCACTGTTGTCTTCCACTCACTCTAACAATCTTCATTTGGTTCAACTTCATACAACTTTGACTCAAGATATCTTTCGAATTTAAGGAACCACATTTCATTAAAGAACATAAGAAGAATATGCATACTAATCCAATTCTGCAAACAAAGGCACAAAGTCATCTGCTCAAATCACAGTCCATATCCTGGCATTTCTGATCTGCCGCCGAAAGTGTTTGCAAATACAGAAGTTAAATTGTTATTATCGAAAACGAGCGTACTTACACAGGTTTATAGACACACTTCAACTTGCGCAAGGAGCAATTTGAACAGACGGTGCGGCCATCGCACTTGAGCTTTCGACCTATCAATCGCGTCGCATAAATGACTCAGGTCTATTTTAAGTTAATCTTCATACCGCGACAGAATGTACAGGCCATTGGTGTCCGCCTTGGGACAGTATAAGCGTCCTGGTCATTGTTGTTATTCCCGGAGAAATCGCCGTGACTGGGCTGGAAGAAAGATGAGTAAAATAAAATGATATTTTAGTCGTTTACAGATATCAGGACGATTGCTAAAAGCTAAACGTACGGTTGGCAGCATAGTGAATGTGAGGGGCTCAGCAACAGTGTGGAATTTACTGTTACACTTGAAAGTGAGATGCGACTGCATTCTTGGTCCGCAGCAGACTATTTGTACGATCTGTTTATGCATGCGATGCATTCGGTCCTGTATTCTAATGTGTGAAGGACCCTCCTCCGAAAGCCTTCTTGTTCGCGAAGATGTGGATCTCCAATGCAGTTTACAGCAGCCGATCCTTCTACTGCGTTCAATGGATACTCCAAGATTGCACGTCCTCCCTGAAACGTGCAGAACACACTATGGTGGAGGTAAATATCAAGGGCTAGATCTTGGCCTTGTTCTAAAGGTTGCTTCCTACAGTCTATGCGGCTCTCCTATCCGCATGCATGGTACACTGTAGCATTCAGTTTCTCTTGCGTCGGCAACTCTTCGATTCCAAGTACATATCCGTGTAACTCATTGTGCCCAAAGTTATAGATGCATTTGCTGCCGAGATTCACGGACGAAGGGTCACTAGTACAAATCCATCCAGAACGCCGTTCGTTTCATGAGCAGCTTTAGGACTGCTCTCGACCCGATCTGCAGGGTGTATACCAAGAATGTGGTACAAGGTTCGAGAACGTGGTACTACAATTCAAAGCTATCCTACCAGAGTTTATACACATGTTTCGTTTGCACTATAGCGTTCGATACTCCTTCCTCCCAGACTTAACGGATTCTAAACTTCATGCACACGTTCACCCGTCGCATTCTAGTTCATTTCTTATGCACTTCTGTGAGCCATCAGATTAAGTTTGTGTCTAATGCGGGTGTAATGTACTCGGTCCGTGTCTCGGTGCTTTGTCGCCTTTCTAGCGGTGTACGGAATACTCAAAGTATGATATACGATGCACGCACTCAAATGGAATCTTCGCCATCACACCAAAAGCGCGCTTCTGTGCTTCTCTGGCCGTTCTCTTAGCAACTTTCCGCTTCCTCTGTCACTGTGACCTACTTATCTCCAAGGTATGACAAATCACCTCTTCATTCGCACTCAGCCTCAAGGTCCGTGTCGTGCGCAGGGGCGGAGGATAATTTGCAACTAGGCCTTCGAGGAGCGGTAATACACAAATACAAGGGGCTTGTGATCTCAAACCAATAGGCCATAGCACATGGAGTGGAGTCCGCATCCCGCGGCAATTAGCACTATGCTGCGCCAAGTATGCAATGCTTTAATATTTCTTTCCGATAAGTGAATGGTTACAAGAAAGTCTGGGTATTCCTCACGGAGGAATACGTTCAATGTTACTCTTACATTTAATCATCAAACCCGAGTTATTTTATGCCTTCGAGAATCCTAAAAGCCATTGAACTCCTGTGTCAAGGTCAGTGCGCCATTTCGCACTTATTGCGAGCTTCGGATAAAAAGCAGCGAAGCCATGCGGCACACCGGGATACCTAAGTTTCATCGGACATAAGAGTTCCTGAGTAGTGATATCGACTGAACAGAACTATGACATACACGTCAACCTTTGTCTGAACGCCGCTTTCTTGCATCATTTGGGCATAGAGAAGTCCCTCATCACGCAACGGATCCGCACCTGCAATTTGGACGTACGCGGGAGGGAGTCCTGCGAGAGACTTCGCGAGAATGGGTGAAACCAAAGGATCGAACTGATTGCCTGGCTTGTAAGCACCTACAGGACGTGCATCGATTGAGTAGTTTTAGCATTAGCGAAGAATCGAGCTTACCCATGAACAGCGCAATATTTTCACGTGTCAGAATTGGATCGCTTTTGAACTGCTCATAAGATTTGAGCTTGTCTTTCAGGCTATTAGCATCATCATCAGCTCGTCCCAGGAAATTCAAAAGTTGGAGATTCTAACCTCTCTGGAAATTCCTTCGAATGCGTGACAGTTTCTGGACTCTGCAACACTTGGCCAGTTATCTTTCCTTGGAGCTCTGGATCTTCACGAGCACGCTGCGCAACTGTACACGTGAAATTTCCACCTGCCGAGGTACCACCAATAATAAATCCTTTCTTGAGATCGACCCGAAGTTCGGTTGAGTCCCTTGCCACCTGTGTCCGTTAATAGAGCTTAGTAAACTTTCCGGGTCGGAGTACTCACCCATTTTACCGCGTCGTATGCGTCATTAGGACCCGTAGGCCAAGGAAACTGCGGTGCCAGTCGATAATCGACATTAACGACGACAATCCGATTTTTCACAGATAGGGCTCGGCAATCGAGCTCGTCGGAGTCAAGAGTTCCCACACTATATCCACTACCTTTTTAAATCGTATAAGCTGCACGATAATAGATATTTATCGTACTTTTTCCAAAACTAACCATGGAAATCAACGTATACCGCGAACGTCTCCGACGTGTCCCGAGGCTCCGGAGTGTACACTCTGACAGCAATATCGCCAGGAGGACTCGTCACGGGAATGCGCTTCTCTTCTACAATCACTCCCTGTGCTAATGAGTAGTGACGAAAGCTCAATGCGAAGGCACATTAATATAGTGTAAGACAAACTAACGTGGATTGAAAGCCGCGACGGCAGCACGCAACATTTCCGCAACTATCTTTTGGCGACGCTTGACTTCTTCATCTCCCTGAAGAGCATCCGCCGAGGGTGAGGCAAAAGGCGGCGGCGTTTGTGCAAGTGCATTCACAAATTCCGGATCCGGGATCGCATAGTGAGACAAATCAGCCATTTTCTCAGCTTGCAGCTTTACTTGCAGTACTCGAATGATATGGGTCTCGACGTATGATTATTGAGGGATGAGTTACTCTCCCTCCTGTCGAATGTATCGCTGCAAGTAATCACGCGCTCATCCAGCGCCCAAGTATCGCGTGACATACACAGTGCAGACAACTCATCGCAAGTCTCATTCAATCGTGAGAGAGCATTCACCTTTCACGATGACAAAAGAATTCTGTGAATGATCTATCAAAGAAACTCACTTTGGCCATTTGTCACTTGACCTCGATGCTGCTGTGTCAAGGTTCTGGAGTCCGACAGACCGGTCTAATTTACCAGCGTCTTGGCATACGTGAAATTGTAAATACATTAGTCGCACGCTTCCTGGCCGAGTTGGATAGAAACTGGCAAAGCTAATTGAAGAAAAAAACAGCTTCACACTGTTGTATCGAGTCGATGAGACTTAGTGTACGAGTGGAAACTGTTTTGAGGGTTTCCCACACGTGGATAACCACATGTGGAAAACTAGCAGGGTAGTTTCCAACGTTGTCAACATGTTGGGAATTAGCTAACTATATTATGCAATATGCCCAAAATAGTAATTTTCCTCAATAAATGCAAGAATTTGGTAGGGCTAACAAACGGTTGATGATTTATTTCAATCTCTCTAGGGGAGAGGACTTGTACAAACATAATCATGTACTTTATTCCCTCATTTTTCTGTTTTTTTGACCGACTAATATGCTACTTAATATGGTTCACCACATAGTATTTTTCCCTGTTTCAGTTCCCCTCGTGGTTATCCTCGTGAGTAACCCACGTGGATAACCTCAGTGTGGAAAACTGGCCAGTTTCCACTCGTACTCTAAATGAGACTTGTAGGTCTGGTTTCCCACGGATTATGTAATTTGCAGAGATGTTAAAGCGAATATCTACGCTTGAAGTTGAATCTGTGGTGCTCCTTCAATACATTGATCCACAGATTAACTACTTCAGTTGAAAAGGGCACATATTCTTAAGAGGTGATTTCAATGTCAATAGTATAGGTGTGTCACAATTGATTGAACATATATTTTCAGTGCAGTGTTTACTACTAGGACTAAAAGCGTACAGGGGAGCCAGTTAGCGATTCAGAGTCCAGACGTGATGTGCTTGCGTCATTGCCTAGAGAACCCTAAAAGCGACTGGATACCAACTTCGAGATCTGCGCGCCATTTTGCACTAGCACCAATTGTTGGATAATAAATGGTAAATCCATGCGGCATCCCAGGATACCTTAATTTAATGTCAATTTTTTATAAAATGTAACAAGCCGGAGCAATATGTGAATTTACACGTCTACTTTAGTCGGTACACCACTTTCTTGCATCATCTGGGCATAAAGGAGACCTTCATCGCGCAATGGATCTCCTCCGGCAATCTGAACGTATGCAGGAGGAAGACCAGAGAAAGACTTCGCGAGAAGAGGAGACACCAGAGGATGGTTCAGTTCACCAGGCTGATAGGCACCTGCAAAGAATGAAGGTCAAGAATTAATTCTTCAATACAGTCGACAATGTACATCGACGCGTACCCATGTACAAATCCATCTCTGTACGACTGAGTATGGGGTCGTCCTTGCACTGTTCATAAGATTTTAACTTGTCCTTGAACCTAGTCGAGGACAAGCAGACAATCAATAAAGTTTTATAATATCTCTCGAGGAATGCGAAGACGGACTTCTCTGGAGGGAATCCCTCTTCATGCGTGATGGTTGCCGGAACCTGTAAAACTTGACCTGTGATTTTGCCTTGAAGCTCCGGATCATCACGAGCACGTTGGGTTATTGTACATGTGAAATTTCCGCCTGCAGATAGGCCTCCGACGATAAACCCTTTTTTAAGATCAACTCGTAGCTCTTGAGCATTCAAAGCTACCTAAAAGCGATTGTGAGACGTCCAGATGTAAGATCAGAAACGAAAACGAAGTGGGTGCATACCCATTTTACAGCGTCATATGCATCGTTTGGCCCTATTGGCCAACGGAACTCAGGAGCAAGGCGGTAGTCAACGTTCACGACAATAATGCGATGGTTTGCGGAGTTCGCTCTGCAGACGAGCTCGTCCGTGTCGAGATTTCCGACTGAATAACCACCACCTTCAGTTGGAGTAACGAAATTTAGTCAAATAAACGGCAAGTACCAATAACAAAATATATTCACCATGAAAATGGACAAATGCGGGAAACGTCTCGGAACTATCCTGAGACTGGGGGGTGTAGATCCTGATTGCTATATCTCCCGGTGGCGTGGTCACAGGAATCCGCTTCTCTGCCACAGTTATACCCACGGCTAGGCAATGCGCGAAACTTAACAGTGAATCACTGGGATGAGTCCATTTATACTAACGTGGACCAGCCGCCTCGACAGCCTCGCGCTGTCTCACTGCAACGAATTTCCGGCGTCTGATCACCTCCTGGTCTCCTTTGAGCGAATCTTTTGTGAATGACGGAGGTAGAGGTGGTGTCTTTGCTAACGTTTTCACAAACTCGGGGTCCAATGTTGCGTAGTGAGACCATTCAGCCATCGTCAGGTGGCCACTTGCTCAATTCGTGGTTGCGGGATATGCGTGGTGGTATGGGAATGATAAGCAGTTGCTAATGATAAGCGTGAGCGAGATGGAAGAATACTTATACCTTCCAGCCAAAATCAGTTTACAAAGCAAAATCCCACCCCTGCGTATGTAACAGTACCAGTATAGGACATGCATTCATCCGGGAGTGTACAATTTTTTGACTTGTATCAGCGTGTGATGATGCCATCTGTCTTCCAAGATAACTTCTCTGATAGCAGTCCGCAGCTAATATCTCAGTAGCCAGAAGCGGATGCTCACGAAAAGTATGGGTTTGATAACACCTCGTCCTATTTCGGTCGAACTACAAATTGCTCGCGCAAGGCTTTCATGCCACACTCGCCACACGTTGGCAAGCACAGTAATTTTCCAAGACTGACACAAGAAGGCATGTATCATGAGCAAGAAGTACCCGAGTATCGATGTGAGGAGTACTGAACATGTGAACAAGTTCTTCCAGGCTCTAGAGCAGATGTAGAAGGAGACGGCATTTTAAAGCTGTTTTGTCCACCAAGAAAACTGTGAAGCCTATCCCGCAAACCTTGCCGGGAATTTTCTGACGACTTACATAATTACCCTTGTATGATTTTATTATCGTAAATAACGACTCTTGTTACACAGAATGGTCCAGTGACTGCAGGTGATACGATAGCTTGTACTATTCGGCGGAATGCAAATAGTGCAGATTTGTGTCAGTTGATCGAAAGAATATTTTTCAGTGCAGTGTTTACCACTTGGACCGAAAGCGCAAAAGGCAGCCAGATAGCGATTTCCGACGTAACGTGCTTGAATCATTGCTTAGAGAACCCTAAAAGCCACTGGATTCCAACTTCGAGATCTGCGCGCCATTTCACACTGGCACCGATTGTGGGATAATAGATAGAGAATCCATGTGGCACGCCGGGATATCTAAGTGCAACGGCGGTTCTAGCTCGATGTAACACAGAGGAGCTACGTGAACTTACACGTCGACTTTGGTTGGAACTCCACTCTCTTGCATCATTTGAGCATATAGAAGTCCTTCATCGCGCAAGGGATCTGCTCCAGCGATCTGAACATATGCAGGAGGAAGACCAGAGAAAGACTTTGCAAGCAGTGGAGACACCAGAGGATGGGACGGATCGCCGGGCTGATAGGCACCTGCAAGGAATGAAGTTTAAGATTTCTTCGGTGAAGACGAAAGGATGTATGGATTCTCACCCATGAACAGCCCTATATTCGTACGGTTAAGTATGGGATCGTCCTTGCACTGTTCATAAGACTTTAATTTATCCTTAAACCTTATTAGGACAAGGGACAATCAGCGAGATTTTAAAGATTTTCCGAGGGGATAAGAACAGACTTTTCTAGGAATTCCTTTGCATGTGAGATAGTCCCCGGGATCTGCAAAACTTGGCCTGTGATTTTGCCCTGAAGCCCTGGGTCTTCGCGAGCACGTTGAGTGACCGAACACGTGAAATTTCCGCCCGCAGATAGGCCTCCGATGATAAATCCTTTCCTTAGATCACCTCGCAGCTCCTGCGCATTCAAAGCTACCTATAAATATTGTGAGATTACTGGAAGTAAGATCAGAAATGAACCAAAGTAAGTGCGTACCCATCTTACAGCATCGTATGCATCGTTTGGCCCCGATGGCCAGCGAAACTGAGGAGCAAGCCGATAGTCGACGTTCACGACGATGATACGATGTCTAGCAGAGTTTGCCCTGCAGACGAGTTCATCCGTGTCCAGATTTCCGATCGAATAGCCGCCACCTTCGATTGAAGTAACAGATTTTATTCGGATAGATGGAAAGCATTATTAGCAACATATTTACCATGAAAATGGACGAGCATAGGAAAAGTTTCAGACGTGTCTTGAGACTGGGGAGTGTAGATCCTGACTGCTATATCTCCCGGCGGCGTGGTCACAGGAACGCGCTTCTCTACCACAGTTATACCCACAGCTAATTAATGCACAGAATTTATGAGAGAATCACTACGTAGAGGTAGGTTCATCTATACTTACGTGGACCAGCCGCCTCGACGACCTTGCGCTGCCTCTCTGCAACGAATTTCTGGCGTCTGATGACTTCCTGGTCACCGTCAAGTGCATCATTTTCGAATGAAGGCGGAATAGGTGGTGTCTTCGCTAAGGCTTCCACAAACTCGGGGTCTGGCGTCGCGTACTGAGTCCAATCAGCCATAGTCAGGCAGTTACTCGATTAATCCGCGGATACAAGATACGCCTGGTGGTATGGGAATGACACGTACTTGTCAGTCATAAGCCTTAGCGACAAGAAGAGTACTTATACCTTCTGGCTAAAAATAATCCACAACGTGCAACCCCACTCCTGTGTATGTCGCCGTGCTGTTACAGGACAATTCCTCTGGGAGTGTGCGATATTCCGAGCTGTATCAGTGTTTGATGATGCCATCTGCCTGTACCCAGATTCCGTGACTTCGCTGATAGAGTACCTTGCGCTAAATATCTTAGTGTGTAAAGATGGACACCTGAGAGAGGCATTAGTAACACTTTGTTTACGTCAATCATATTATAAATTAGCAGAATCGGAGGCGTTTGGGCACCGATGTGAGAGCAGGTGAAATCGTGAGCAAGTTCCACCAAATGAAGGTAGGTAGGCAGGTACTAGGTACGATCGTTTTGCTGCCAGGCATTGCCGAGATGCCGCTCTGTTCCATCGTTCCGTGGTCGAAAATCTATACGGTACTGCAAGGACGTTCCGTCGAGTAGCCCGAAGGCCTACGATATAAATACTGTATTGCTTATGGAATAGTCTGGTCTCAAAGTATTGTTGACATAGGGGATTAAGAAACTAAAGTATGAATGAATGTGCTTTTCAAATGATATACAAAGGAATGTGAAACTAATTGTCCAGAAGGAATGACGGAGAGACCATAGATGTCAATATCGAATGTCACAGTAAATTAGAAAGCCATCCCTTGCACTAATTTCTTTTTAATAAGAGCGGAACCCATAGAACGCAGCTTGCGCCAGCCCTTTCCAGAACCGACAGGTGAGGCACGGTCGAGTTGATCGGATTGGGTAGTAGGAAAAGGAATGCTGCTTTGTGACGAAACCGGATGTTGCACGCGACTGGTCTTCCTGGGAGCAAACCCTGGTTTGTCCTTAACCAAGGGCTGATCCTTGCGGCTGTTTAGATAGCGATTGCGAGCCGCAGCTATACGACCATCTCCGTCTGATCCGGCTGGAATGGGACCTTGCACATGCGAAATGACTCGTTCTTTTGAGTTGGGCTTCGAATCTGTATCAACAGAATGTACATGTTCATGCGTAGCTGAGACGGTACTGCGGACTTCGTGGACTAATCGACGGCTGTTCGCTACTTTCATCCCTTGTATACGGTGAGCGGGTACTTTCCTTAACGACATGGGTACCGGTACACTCGTAGAACCACCTCTCGGCGTCCTCATCCCACTCGCCTTGACACTATATGCCAGCTTCTCGCAATCATTAAACGAGATTGGTTCTGAAAGCGGAGAAGGGCCGGGAGGCATCTTTCGTAACCCCAAAGAGTACTTTTTCTGAGTCGGTCTCGGTTGTATAGCCCGCACCACCAGTTCTTCCAGCGCCAGCGCCGGTCCGATCTGACTCGTGAGGTATCTCACGCATCCACCGAGTCTTCCAGAAGCACAAACTCCGCATTTCTTGGTTCTTGTTCTCAAAGGCCTCGGTCTAGAAATCCTGCTTGCGTTATTCGTCTCGAGGACGCTTCTTCCCTGTGCCTCCATGATAAGAGCTGGAGCATAAGGGTCGCCATATATTTCTCGAGGTCGGGGGTGTAGGACCTTGATAACTGCATTAGATGGTACGCTCATATTTAGAGAAATGGTAGACCATACCGGAGAAACACCGCTCAAGATAAGCCCTCGAACAAAGGAGTTTCTCGATAGCGCAAGAACGTTCTGCAAAACACAGTAGCATCTAAATATTGCCGTCGTACTGATTGTGCGGAGGGTTTTCACGCGTACCTCTAGGCGGCCTTTACCAGTGGAGTCCACATTACCTGTGAGGCTACCAAATACCTGTCTTGGACAGACCGATCCGTCTGTCACTCCTCTCTTTATCGCATCTTTCCGAAGTTTACAAAGACGATATCTCGGAGAGTAGGTTGGCATAGATTGGCCCCAGTTCGCAAAAAGCCCTGACGAATAATACCCTTGCCTGTTTCCTCGAGCCCAAGACGAAGGATCGAGAAACCAGGGGGGAGTGAAGAGAAGACTAAGCAAACGCGTGTGACTGCACTCGCTTTAAATGAAGAAAAGACAGACCAAAGCCACAAATGATATACGTGGAGAAGATGATCAATGTGGCCCTTCGCAAGTATAAACGCCAGTGGCTAGAATTACAGATAATCCTGTCGCCCATCACGAACCCATGGAACAAAATCCATTCCAGTAACTCGCAGTTCATCACAGCTTTCCTTAGACTTCTATTGAGTCCAACTTGGAACGTGTAGAAAAGAAAAATTTCTTGTCGTGTGGAGTTAGTGATTTCAATATCTGAAGCCACGACGCTTTGGTAATTGTTCGGATTACCTATATCCGGCAAGCAGCCGATCATTGTTATTGCTGCAGTGGCCATTATTGAGACTCTTTCGTGATCCTAGGACAATTTGCTCTTCGTAGCTTTTGGTGCCCTTACATAAATGTACATGTATAGGGCATTGATTTGCAGATCATTCTATATGTCGCTCACATTGAACCTTTGCCCGTACTGAAGAAACATGACAAAAGAAGTAGGTCAGCTCGTAGGTATGCTAATGGATCACACAGGTGGCAACGCAAACCTTAAGACAACCAGGGGACATGTTGCGATGTCGGTAGCAGTGTCTAGCGACTATATACGCAAATTCGGCATCCTCTCTCTAGCGTCGATTACCAGCTTCTCCGGACATCGCAAACTGAATCTGCCATCTGCACGCGCATAAGAAACGAGCTTGATACCATCGACCTTCGTGCGCTTCTTGACAGGCTCCTTCCCTGCGACCACGTCTGCCAAGAATGACCTTCCTTCCTCCAAGACATCCAACGCATCTGCCATGCTTGTGTCGTGTCCACAATTGATTTTCACGGGTTCGCGCGGAGTGCACTGGTTCGCATTTTGAACGAAGTCGATTAGGGAATCCATCGTCTCGAACCATTGGACTATGTCTCCTTCTGGAGGGAAAAGAACTGGCTCCCATTCGTACACGGTGTCGCCGACGTATAGCATACACTCCTTTGCATCCCATAGCGCAAGTTCATCCGGTGTATGTCCAGGCGTGTGTAATATCTGGAGCCCTGTGTTCTTCCCTTCGAAAGTAACGCATGATTGGTGAGCCATTAGCGTTGGCGTATATTTCGGCACAGATATCTTCAACCGTCTGCATTGACTGTTTTGAGGGAGATTCTCAGGTGCAAGGAATGACGGGCAGTACGAAGAGGCCAATATTTGAGAGTCTGTTGAGAATTGCTCCAAAGCAACTATCACAATTTCAGAATTCGTCGGAATTACTGACATAGTGGAATAAAATGGTTCTTACGAATATGATCATAATGACAGTGTGTGCACACAACGATATACTCGAACCTTCCATTCTCGTTGAGAGGCTTATCATCGTTGTTAGCGATAGGCCAAGTTTCAATAAATTCGCGTAAGCTCGTCACATCGATTGTTGGATCATTTGTCGCTCCTCCACACCCTGAATCGATGAGAACGATCACTCCTGGAACGATTTTTGCATAAATGAACGGATGTTCCGAGTATATATCATCGTATTCGACGATTTTGAAAACCGTTGATGTCAGTCTCGATGCTCTGAAAGCAACTGTCTTGTTCGCAGTCGTGCGATACATATTGGTTGTAAGTAGGAGAGAACTGCCCTTCTGTATCTCATGACTTTTGGAGATAGTGCTTCCTGCTAAGAAGGCAAATAAACTTCAGAAGGTTGAATGTAGACGGTTGAAGTTGAACGAAGTTGCAAACGGCCCGAGTAATTGCCGTCTGATTGTCACACATGCGACATATTTAATGAAATCATTACACGTGACCTTATAAACCCAGATTTAGCAAGAGCAGAATCAGCAGATTGGGCTTGGCTTCATATTTATCGCTGTTATCTCGTCTAGCATGGCTTATCTCCTGCACTTGAACTGTAGCATCCAGGGATGCGTATTCTTCCCAGAGAACAGGAGAAGCTCTTTCTTCACCAGGTGCGTCAGACCTTCCATTTCTCAGCCCTACTTTAGAGTGAACGCCGTAAATCAGGCTGGGTTTCTCGCTCAGAAACGCTTAGCACGTGGCCTGAGATTGAACCAGACAGAGGCAACTGCTCTCATTGCATCACAACTACAAGAACGTATTCGAGATGGGCGCCATAATGTGACAGAATTAATGGATCTGGGAAGAGACATGCTTGGAAGGAAACATGTTCTTCCGTCAGTCCCGACGTTGCTGCATCAGATCCAGGTGGAGGGGACCTTTCCCGACGGGTATGGGACGTCCGTCTTCATAATATGCAATGCACGCTAATCTTGGAGTATAAAGTGTTTTCCTCGTAACCGTACATGAGCCAATATGCACCGAATCGGGCAATCTCAACGAAGCCTTATATGGCTCGTTTCTACCTATTCCGTCGGATGATCTTTTCCCTGTTCTCCCTGCATCGGAGTACGATGCCAGTAACGCTCCTGGTGCCGTCATAATCAAAAAAGAACGTATTACGATAAACGCAGGACGGCCGCGCATCAAGCTCGGGGTGACGAACAATGGTGACAGGCCTATCCAAATCGGCTCTCACTACCATTTTATCGAGACCAATTCATCGCTCATATTCGACCGCGGGAAGGCGTATGGGAAACGCTTGGATATACCCGCCGGTACAGCTGTACGATTTGAACCGGGAGATACAAAGACAGTAACCTTGGTTGAGATAGCTGGTGGCAAGATAATTACTGGTGGAAATTCACTGGCAACTGGTGTCTTTGATCCTCAGCGAACGAGCCAAATTGTTGCTTCACTTGTTAAAACGGGATTTGGAAATTTGTCAGATCCTGGAGCCACGGAGATCTTTGAAGATACGACAGTAGCCCGAGGAACGTATGTATCAATGTTTGGACCTACTGTTGGAGACAGAGTCCGACTTGGAGACACTTCTCTTTGGGTCGAAGTCGAACAGGACATGGTATGTCCAGTATTTTTCTTTGGGACTAGGTTGCTTACTTCAAGTCAGACTGCTTATGGCGACGAAGTCAAATTTGGCGGAGGTTAATGCTCTTGTAATTTTAACAAATGAATTCTGACTGACATCTCTCCAGGCAAGAGCATTCGTGAAGGTATGGGACAAGCAACGAATCGTCCCTCCTCCGAGACACTTGACCTCGTTATCACGAATTGTTTAATTGTCGACTGGTCCGGAATTTACAAGGTCTTGGCTTTAATGCTTGTTTTTTTACGTGACTGAAACCTCTGCGTAGGCAGATGTTGGTATTAAGCACGGCCGTATTCTCGGTATAGGCAAAGCAGGAAATCCAGACGTCATGGCAGGAGTTTCCGACAACATGGTCATCGGCTCATCGACAGAAGTTATTGCAGGCGAGAAGCTTATACTCACAGCTGGTGCTATCGACGTGCATGTACATTACATATGTCCACAACAAGTGCGCGAGGCACTCGCAGCGGGTACAACTACAATGGTCGGAGGCGGGACGGGCCCAAGCGCAGGAACGTGTGCGACGACATGTACACCTAGTCCGCGTGACATGCAAATAATGATTTCGGCGACAGACAGTATGCCAATGAACTTCGGCTTTACGGGTAAAGGAAATGATGCTGGACCTCAGGCGCTCGAGGATATTGTTAAGGCCGGCGCAGCTGGGTTGAAGCTCCATGAAGACTGGGGATCAACACCTGCAGTGATCAAGAATTGTCTTGACGTTGGTGACAAGTACGACGTGCAGGTATGACGGCAGAGTTGCTTGCCCTTCTTTGACTGTGTGTTGAACCTAGGTCAGGTTAATATCCATACGGACACTTTGAACGAAAGCGGATTCGTCGAAAGTAAGCCAGAGTCGAAGAATTTTGGCGTCGTTTAACCCCTCCCCTATCCCCTCAGGTACTATTGCCGCCTTTGGTGGACGAACCATTCACACGTATCATACGGAGGGAGCGGGTAAGTATTTGCGTAACTACTCGATTGCCTGTTTGGTTGACTTCCGCTAGGTGGTGGGCATGCACCTGATATCATCGTTGTTTGCGGACAAAATAATGTCCTCCCTTCTTCTACGAATCCGACCAGACCTTACACAAATAATACCGTCGAAGAGCACATCGACGTACGTGCCAGTACTGACTATTGTATCCACATCGCTGAGTTGATTTTTGGCACTCGATAGATGCTTATGGTCTGTCATCACCTTGACAGGTCGATTCCCGAAGATATTGCCTTCGCCGAATCACGTATCCGGAAAGAGACAATAGCGGCTGAAGATGTGTTGCACGATATAGGTGCAATCTCGATGATTTCCTCCGACTCACAAGCTATGGGCCGCGTCGGCGAGGTTGTGAGTCGAACTTGGCGCACGGCAAGCAAGATGCGCGATGTGCTCGGCCCTTTGAAGGAGCTTGGGGACGTAGAGGGAAAAGATAACGGACGTGTCAAGCGCTATATCTCCAAGTATACTGTAAACCCGTGAGTACAAGCAAGATCATCTAGTTTGATGCGCATATAGTAACGCAAAGACAGTGCAATCACTCATGGATTTGAGCATGTCGTCGGCTCGGTTGCGGTCGGACGCCTTGCAGATCTAGTACTGTGGAAGCCGGAAAACTTCGGTGCTAAGCCTGAAGTAGTTCTCAAAGCTGGAGTAATAGCATGGGCCCAGGTACACTTTCGCATCATCTCTTCAAGACATAGATTCTGATCTTCCTAAAGATGGGTGATGCAAACGCTTCAATCCCAACGATTCAACCAGTATATGGACAGCCTATGTGGGGCGCTGAGCCCCTAGCAGCTTCTTTGACATCAGTTGTCTTCGTTTCTCAAGTTTCCATAGACAACGGCTCAATCAAGAGTTATGGAATTCGCAAGCGCGCAATACCAGTACGAGGATGCCGGAAAGTAACAAAGAAAGACATGAAGTGGAACGAAAAGACTCCGCGCATGTTTGTTGACCCGGAACATCACAATGTTACTGCAGATGGCCTACTTATGGACGTCAAGCCAGCGGAGAAGTTACCACTTGGAAAAGTTTATAATTTGTTCTGAGGATTTGACATGGTGTGTATGAATTAGTGTACTTTTAAATTTGTTACGTTGTCTGTATGTTACATTTAACAGAGCCAATATATATATTTCTGTTTCAGTGGCCTGTCTTGTGTGCCCAAGCCTGTGACTCAGCGAAATGGATCGTCGGATGTGGCAGCGTGGCTGGACTAAATGCGTGTGGACGCGATCACATGATGAATATTTTAAGCGACCACAGTCCACGGCTCTTGTTACTATGTTAGCTTTACTCAACTCCTTCGCGTCTTGCTTGCCTACTATTCAACGTTCTTCGAAGGCAGCGAGACAAATCTCCCCTCCCACCCTCTCCTCCCCGTTCCTTCCCAAATTGCGCAACCTCCTTCAGCCCCTCCTCTTCTCACATATCGGTTCATTTTTGGTCCACGTTTTACTATACCGTGACATAAAAATGGTTGCTCTAGGAAATTCATCTACTCTTGAATGCTCTTATGATAATGATGGATTTATTATTGGATTTTCCAGGAAGAACTCAGCTAGCTTTGTAGGTATTCTAATTTTTTTCCGACTTACTATATCACTGAAAAGTTCCAGTCACAGTCCACGGCTCTTAATACACAGTGCGAAAGCCACATTCGATCATCTCAAAATCATCTTGAACCGGGATCAGTATTCGAAACAGGTATCTCATTTCTAGTTGTATTCTAGCCGTCAATTATACGTTTCTAAACCACGCGCAGATGATGAATACCCTCCATTCATACCGGAGCGACCTGTTTCAAGACAGTCTCACTATAAGAGTGAGAGTTGGAGACGTGTTCGGAGACCGTGCCTCCCCCCTCCGATTAGAGTCCGTCGCTATCCCTTCATCTTGAACGGACATTACGGCTTGTACACCATTTCTCAAATATGCCGACACATTGACATTAGCCCCAAGCGAGAATCGGCCGTACAGCTACGCCGCTTCCGCCTTCTAAATGAGATGCTCGATCGCTCCCACGCCGAGGGATATACAAGTTGCAGACCAACGTATCAGCCTAACCTCGGAGGAAGTGGCCTTGGCCAGAAGCAGCATCGCCCGCTTAGACACGGCAGCTCGAAGCTTCGTAATGAAATATCACTGTCTGATCTAGCCGCGGATGACGCATCCGAATACGAGGATGAGTTCTCCTTTGAGCATCCTTCTGAACATTCCTTTACTTCGGACCTCACCAACGGATCGCTCGATTTTGAGATGCCGATGAAGACCACGTCTAGCGCGGGTGATGAATCCGATGAAACCAGCTTCGAATCCAGTGGCAGAAATATCCTTGGTCCCGAGTTTGCTTCTGCGCCTATGTCACTGAGTTGCGCCTCGGAAGAGCTCAATCGATACAGAGGTGGCTCGCATCTGAGATTGTATGACGTTGCGAGCACGCGTGGTGTACGAGCATGACTCGTCACTGTTCGGTTTTGATCTTTATCATTTTACTCGGAGTGCATACCCTACTTACATAAAAAAGCGACACACTTGTACCACCTAGGCTCTTCATTTCCCTCCCTTATTCATATCCAATCTCTGGTTTTGTCTATCACTTGCGATACCTTTGGCAGAGTATCCGATACAGGATGTACCAACATTATCCACTTCCACGTTTATTGAACTTTATGTATCAGATGATATTTCCAGTGCATTCCTTTTTCGCTCTATCATTATGACAATTTTGCGTTTAAAACATTCATCATTGCTTTCGACGTGTTATGTTCAGATGCTTTATTTTGGGTTGCTAATGATTCTTTTATATGTTATAGGTGTATTATTTACTTACACCCTCTGGTGCTGATATAGATGAATGTGTAAGAGAATTGACAAGGACGTTCATCAGTAAATCTGGTTCGATAAGCTTTCTGGGGTCACACCCATGCATTGGATGCTATTAGGCACTTGGTAATTACCCTCCAGTCATACTTTCACATCTGTAGTATGGTACTCAGCGCACAGAAATTGTAGACATCAAATGCTGGAACCATGATATTGAATGTTACTCCGCAGTACATACAGGTGGAAGTTTACAACCCGTGCTGTCAGCCACGTCCTGGGATAGAATATGGCAATATGCTGTAAGGCAACTCTTTCGTCATGATGAATCATGCAGGACTAACCCATAACCATAGTATAAAGGTATAACGTCGTGCTTAATTGTCAGTATCGTCTCCTTCCATGCCTACTACCAGTGCAAGCTCTGCTTAACCACCTCATCAAACGGCATTGAAAAATTACAAGCTTAAATTGACGCAACGAAACTAATTGACAAAGGTGAATGGGACACAAAGGAGTGACACTATAGACAAAGTAAGGAACGTGGATAAGTCTGGAAAAGAAACGGCATGAAGGGGAACGAATGTGATATGGTGACAACGATAATGAAATAAAAATATTAGCGAGTGGTTGGGACTTGGAGTTAATAACAAAGGAGGGGGAATGCCGAATCTACATGCGGTCTCTGGTGGCTCAAAGTAGCAACGAACAATGCGATTGGCCGGATTCTGTGCATAAGCCACGCAGACTCGTCTACAAGGCACGATGTCTTCCGCGCAGAATGGCGATTTCCGACTGGGAGCGACGGAGAGACCTCGGATAGTCTCGCTCGTTCGGATGCGGAGATGGTGGTGGACTCTGTGGCGGAAGGGGAGGAAGTGGTTTGTCGACACTCAACTTCCATTTCAATCGCGACGGTCTGGTCTTCGGTTTCTTATTCTCTTCCTTCAAGGATTTTCCCTTGACAGTGACGACGGGTCGGCTCTCTTTGCCTGCCGGTAGGAAGTCTGGAACTCGATACGTCCTTGCTGATTGCAGTTGATGCGCCTGCATTTCACCAGCGGTAGATGCAGTCCGAGTGCTATCATGAGTCACGTTTGTTGCATCGCCGGAGTACGCGCCAACAGAATCAGATGAGCAATCGGTCTCAAGATCAGTTAAGTCCGCGTCAGTTGGCTCCCCATCTTCCGCGGCACAACCATCTGCATTCCAGAGAAGGCCAGCTGCTGTGATCGATTTATGAAGCGGAGAGCGTCTCAGACGTGAGGTTTTCGTCCTCCTATCAGTCCAGGTAGACAATCCCGGCACGCTCTTCTGTATCATTCGATGCGCGACAATTGTTCGAGCCTTCTCAGCTTCCTCCGGATCGCTGCGTTGTCGCTTGCATGACTTTGCCCTATTGTGGTAAACCAAGGGAAGAAACCCAGCTGGATCTAGGCCGGGAGGGACAACGGGTTTGGACTGTGTGCAGTTCTTGCACTTCGTCCTCACTTCTGCTGTTGCGGCATGCGGCTTCGTTGATCCTTCTTGCATGTCTGTCCCAGAGCCGTACACCTTCTGAAGGAGAGCTGCAAGTTCCCTACGTTTCACTTTCAGGAAACTCGCAAAATGAACACCCCTGGTCTTATCTTCCTCCCAGATCCTCTTCCTGACCACCAAGGCTGCCTCTTCCTCCTCAGACATGTCGTAAAGTCTGTAATCCAAGCATGGTTCTTTTAAAGCGTCTGCAGGGACCGGAGCGGCGCCAGGTTCACCATAGATATATTGTGGTTGACGGGTCAAGGCCTTCTTGTTCTACGGATAGAAGATGAGACCTCCATTTACAACTGGATGTCTAGACATACTTACCTGTAACCCAAGAAGTTTCTCCTCGAGAAATTGACGACATGCATCGTCCATGAACTGCGGAAATGGCGACGGACCCGCGAAAGTTTCGCTTGACGAACTCGACGACCTGCGTCGGCTGTTCTTCTGATCGAAAAGCTGTAAGGAGAACATTTCAACAAAGTAGTTTGAGAGAAACGGGGGGATTAGACGAGCCTTAAGGCTATAGACGTCGTCATGTGGCTCGTGGAATGACTTTCGAGGTGAGGCACTCCAGGAATCCGAATAGAAGTCGATAAGGGTAGTTGTGCTCGAACTAAGCTTTAGACGCCGCAAAGACAAGTTATACGGCTGGAAAGGATAGATGAATTACCATGTTTTGTGCGTCTCCAGATAAAGTGGATGAGTAGGCGATGCGACATACCATCTTGAATTTTCGACGACGCCTGTACTTCGTTTGGACGTAGTCTGACTCGTCTATTGGTGACCTCGTGTATTCAGAATCCGGAATAATGCGTTGGACCAGGTAGCTCATCCCGGAAATCCGATTCGAAGGCTGGTATAAATCTGGGTGTTGGGTTTTGTGATATGTGAAGTAGTGTGGAATAATGGCGAAGTTGGACTTGGAAGTAAAATATACAGAGTCCAAAGCCACCAAGTCAGGGCCTTGAGGGGATGTCCACAAATAGAAAGCCCTCAAAATGGATAATTTTTCTGATTAGAAGGCATTGTACTTTCTGCCTGAAAATGTGGCCTACATTGCCAAAATAAGCATTAGGGCTGATGCACGACTTGTCTGCGCAGCAATTGCTTAGGAGTGGTGTACATTTTATTGTCTGACCACTGTCGGTAGATAAAACCCGGAAGCCCACACAAGATTATAGTAAAGGCCTGTGAAGCAGTGCAACATGCAAAGCGGTGGATAGTGATGACATTCGCATCTGTGAATACGAGATAAGTGAGAGAAATGACGGGAAGCTCGTGCATCGGACTTTGCTAGATCAATACGGCCCACGAGACACCATAATTATTTCAGACCCTATTCAGGGATTCGGGAAGCCGATCATCAAATCGACTTTACGACAAGGTGTTCTCCTTACTATCTGGATTCTGCATGGCTGGAATGTGTGGTATCACTGGCTTTGATTACTTTGAGAAGACAGACACAGATTAGAGAGCATCCAGATGGAATATTTCCTTTTCAGTTCCACACTTATACAGAATTGTAGACGATAAATAGGAACAGAAAAGCATGATGGGTAAAAAGTTTGCGGCATGGTCATGCTTTCGGAATTTGCTGAATACACGTGGTTAATTACGTAATAGACCTCTGGCCAAATATTTTGCAACACTTGTGCACAACGATACGAGTTAATTGAACCAAGACATTACCACACGCGATAAAATGCAAATGAATAATTGTATTCGTACAAGTACGTCCTCCCTACTTACGACCGTGCTCGCACAGTCATATAGGGCTAGGTAACTTCGCATGCATACTATGCGATACATGTTATGGTACGAGGGTAAGAATGTGCATGAAGGGATATTTGTTGCATCTCCAGGATGCCTGAGGTCAAATCGTGGATGAACGAGTGAATGGGTAAAGTATAAAGCGTGACGGTACGACCACAGGTCGTATCACTTTACCTATGCAGAAGTAAAGCAAGCAAGACAAGGGAGACGAGCAAAAATAATCAGCAAATAAAGACCAAGAAATAGCCATCCTCATGGAACAATGCGAGAGTAAATAAAGAGTTGCGACGCTCGGGCCACAAGTCAAATAGCCGTCTAAAGTACCATGTAATTGGGACACTGCGACGTAGATATGAAGGGCTTGACAACATCGGCGAAAGTGCGAAATGACGAGAAACTGGACGTGGTGCCGGGTATAGATACGGATATATGCAAGAGTGTCAAGACATGCGAAATAGAGACGGATCGTGGACGGTGAGTAGTCGCCGAGACCACGTCCCCTTAATGGACGCCATGGCGCTTGCTCAGCTTCTGATGCGCACTAAACGCACGTCTCTTTATCTTCGTGAACTCAGCGTTATCGCGTCTTCGGCTATAATCAGAAGAAGAATGGGTAAATCGCGGATAAGCGATTGTAGATGTTTGGTCAGCTTGGCGAGTTTGATGCTTTGAAGAAGCTTGATGTTGCCCATACCATTTGTTTGTTGAAGATGACTTAGTAGTCGAGGTAGCCGTCGAAGAGCCGGCTCTTGACGTTGATGTCGAAGTCGTCGCGGACTTTGAGCTCGAGTTATTGGTCCCGTTGGCTGGTCCTGCTGCATTATTCACGGGTGTATTTACTGGGTTCGCAGCTGACGACGATCCAGAACCAGAGTTGGAGGATGATCCACCCGTCGGCTGTCCCGAAGCTGCGGTGGTGGTAGTTGGCCATCCAGATGAGACAGTTGGCGTAACGATATTCGCGGTTGTCGCTGTGTTTCCTCCCGGAGTAGTGAACCCTGTCTGTTCGCCCTTGTTGTTGAACACAGGCAGCTGAGAGTCTTCGAAGATGTCATTCTGCGCCCCATCACCGAAGTTGTAAAGGTCGTTGTAGAAAGGCGGGTCGTGGTCCCCTTCGAAAAACGTGTTACCTTCCTTCTGGAGCCAGTATAACGCTTGCTTGGCGCCGTATGTGCAATTCCATGGCGCCACATTTGCATTCTTATCCGCATTCTGTCCGCATCGGCGAGCAAGTTTCGGCGTGGCGAGTTTCTTGTTTGACTTGGCATTCGTCACCTTGCATCGGTAACCATTCATGTAAATCTGCTCGCTTCCGGCGTCGGGTGCATGAATCCAGTTGAACGAACAGATGCAGCCCCCCTCAGGACATTCAGGCATATCAGCCGGAATTTGGAAATCCGTAAAGCGATGCCACACGCAAGTATGGTTTACAGTGAAGATTGTGAAGTCCTCCGGTTTTACGGAATTTACGTCAGACTTGTAAGTGATGCCGAACGCGCAACCACGCGTGTCCTCAATAGACTTTGCATGGAACGCGATCGTTGGTGAACCTGGACAAGGGTTGTTTCCGGCTTGAATGTCCCCGCCCGGCGAGGAAGCAAAGAAAGTGGTCGCTCCCTTGTCGCAGGAAACTTGCGAATTCAGGGTCCCTCCTGCGGGAAGTTCCAGAAAAGTGTTATCCGGAGGTGGATAATCGAGATGTCCATGCTGGGGGCGACGAAGTCAATCCGAAGTGGCACAACATACGTAAACATAAAATTACTCAGATACTTACGAACCACCACTCCTTGAAAGTCAGATGCATGAGGGGGACAACCGGTCTGTTATCGTATGAAAAGGTGCTTCCGGTGACGTTGAATCCCCACATCGCCGGGGACCATGCCGCTTGATTTTTTGATTAGTTCAAAAATATTCCGAAAGCGGAATTTAATTATGCTAAAAAGCCTCACTGGCATGTCCAGAAGCTGACCCAATAAGCCCTGCAAATATCGACAGCAGAAATATAGGGAGCATGGTGATATAAAGAATGATAAGATCAGTAAGACTCTGTAAAGTGAACAACTGCTCAGTCTTCGCTCGCCACGCAAGAGGGATTGAGCAGGACTTGCCAGCACCAATACTGAAATACGCCGACAGTCGAATCCGTGTGTCCCGCGCTAGAGCAAAGACGGTTGTTTGCAGAAGCAAAGTAGAACGGGAGTGGCTCCGTGAAGAAGTAGAGACTTGGGATGCGTGTAGTGAACGAACGAATCGTAGGTAAACGAACGTGCTGTCTAAAGAACGTGGGATGAGAGGCAGACGGTCAAGGGGGAAGAAGGGGAGGAGGAGATAAGCCAAGTTTTGAAAGCGCAGGGCGGCCTTGATGGAAATTGACGCTCGGGAGCGCTACTGTACTTACTGTAATTGTCCTGAGTGTCACAGTCACGCCCGCCCTAGCGACGCGGCGCTGACGGCTCTTGACGGCCGCAAATTTCTTCCATCCGGCTAGCAAAAATACCTCGGAAGAAACTCGAGTGCTACAGAGATGCAATGGGAAAGGGCAGCAAATAGTAAGTAGCTTTCCTTGCTCGTTGCGCAAGCAGTGGCGATCGCACAGAGGCGTGAGTTTCAATTGATTCGTTTCAATAGGAAGCTCCCACCGCAACTATAGTCTCGCGGGGCCAAGAGACCGCACTGTGATCGACCTTGATCGCATCGAATGATCGAAATATTTCAGGTACCGGAGAGACTCCGCGAATCTTCGAAAGTTCCTCATTGGAGAAAGTCATCCAGCGCGATTGACAAATTTGGACGCACCTGTCAGCGATTCGTCTCATCGCCCTCTGTTCCTGTGCACCTGAAGCACTGATCCCGGACTGTGGCAGGAATTGGACAGTTTGCCTTATGGGTAAGATGAAATAGAGGGCAAAAATGATTGATCATTTGCCCGACGTTGTGCATTAACGTTTAATTGTCCGGATTTCAGAATAGTGAGCTGGTTGCACTGCTGCAGTTTAAGCCAACGGTTGTGCCCAGAATGGCAGCCCAATTGTAAATAAGTAAGTGAATACGAGTACGTAAAAGTACTCAGTTACTTCTCCCTCAACTATATATACCACAACTAAGCACTGTATAATCCATATACCAGTTTAACGGCTATCAATGAGATAGATTGCCTTGTAAACTGAATCTGTGGCTCAAACAGAACAGTTGCTGCATGCCTTAGACAAATGAAGTACAAGTAAATATTGCAGCATTATTGATGCTAGGCTATGTAGACAAGATGACTTACTCAGCCTGACAATAGCTAGATTCCAAGGGTAGGACATGGAGAAGAAGTTTCAAGGTATAACAGAAGTGGTAGCCGAGGTTGACGGACGCTGGATAGAGTCGACAGCAGAATGTTGCATGCCACTCGAGTACCGTGTCACACAACGTTTCTCAAAATAGCTTTTCACGACAGAGTGGAGAGCAGAGGTTGTCAGAGGTTTTTCCAAATTTAAAATCTAATCCCACGAGAAAAAGCCTATTGACCTGGATTTGTGTGTGTAAGTTATTTTTGACCCTACTATTATGAGTATTATAGAGATCCCACTACTTACCCACATGATAAACGAAATGCATAGCAAACCCGAGTTGAGATATTACGCGTATGTAAAATCAGTCTCTGATCTGATCAATACTATACGTTGCGAGAAGCGAGGCAAAAAGAGTGTGTGCATCGTGTTGCCAAGTTCCCCAAGTAATACCATTTAGGTATGCATACCGTGTAATAGATCTTAACAGCATTCCAGCCACAACGCCTTTCTCCGCGAGTACGAAGTGCGCTCAAGAGTCAAGACTGTCCAAAGTCCAACCTACGCGCTTCTGCAGTCTGTGTCTGCATTATGCAACACGCGTTACGTAACATTTCTCAGTCACGTGAACACCCTTCATGTATTGCCACACATGGGGCATTTCACAA